TCTCGACTTATATTCAAGATAAATGGATATTTTTTTCCATCCAAATAAAGACAAGTGAACAAGCTTTAAGATGATACCAATACCTCTACATGCCCTAAAATTGACGAGAGCCTGATTCCACCACGCTGCCTCACATATTGTGGCTCATTTCTCACGACCCGCATACACGTCATATCAGAAATTGGATTTTGTATATTTATTTATTTCATACAAATGCAGTTTTGAGGAGACCTGAATAGACATGAAGGTCTTAAACATCTAGCTCTCACTGGCCGAATTTAAGGCAAATGGGGCAGGGGTAAGCCCAGAGCAACATACATAGGGAACCTAAACAGATAAGTAACTGGGAAAGATCAGGGAATCGTAGCTTTTTAAAGTGTCGAAGATTAGGGGTGTTACAGGAGAGTAACAAACACAAAAAAGAAGGAGTACAGATGAGGACGATAGACGTTTGACAGGAAAGAAAAAGCAAACCGCACCAGAGCACCCGCCAACCACCCACCACCACTTTTCTCAACGACAACGAATGACCGTCTCGGACAATTTCGACAGTACTAAGACAATAGACTGACCAACCTGGGAGTGGAACAGCTCACAGTTGAGTGACGTCTGCAGTGTCCATCCACTGACCCAACCGTCCGTCCCGACATTCCCCTGGACCTGAAGGCCGGTCAGGAGAACTGGCCTGGACATATTGACCTGGGGAACAGGTCGCACCATTAATATGGTGCTGTATTATACTATCTTACTTTAACAAAGAAGGGGAAAAGCAAATTTTCTGCGTTTGAATTGTGGTGCTTCTGTAGAATGGCCAGAATTAACCGGAAAGCAGCAACCCCCCCAAAAAAACAAAAAAAACAACAGAAAAAACCCCCCCAAAAGGAATTGAAAAAGAAAAAGAAAAAAAAAAGACTATAAGATGTGTTAGATTTTCCACTCGAGACAAACCCTCAATGTTTTATATCTTATTTTGCTTTCCAGCTAATTCAATTCTATTTCATCCGAAAAGTCATTTAAAATTAGTTGTTATTGGTGGCGGACCGATTAATGCGCTCGTCTCCGAAGCGGAAAGTCGGGGTTCAAACCTCGGTTTGGACACGGATTATTTTCGCTCTCTCCTGCCCACCCAGCAGTAATGGTTACCTGACTTCGAGTTGGGGAAGTAAAGGCGGCGTGGAAAGGAACTGGCCACCCTACCACAATATGCCGAAGGCTCAGGAAGTTGTCTCACTAATAAGGCAATCCCCAATGTCCGAATCGGACACGGGAACAACTTTACTTTTACCATAACTCACCTGGATCAAGTTGTCCGGAGACGAGATTAGCGGCTGCCAGGCTTTTGGAGCGTCCAGACGCACGTCCTGTGGTCTCCCAGTGGACACAGAGATGTCGTAGAGCAAGCCGTCATCGATGACGCCTGACCTGAGCCCTAGTGAGGCCTGGCATGGCGGCTGTGGGCAGAGACATTTACAGGACAAGCGTAAATCTGCTGTAGATTCGTGTGATTTTCTAACAGGATTGTGCAGAGACAAAGCGCTACCTAATGGCCATGTTACACGTAAGGATATATTGTGTCAGATTCGTCGTATGCGAGAACTGTTCGTTTTATCGAGCTGTGTAGTCGGCACATTTTAAAGCCATGATCGCACGAAAAATATCAAGCAGCGCTTGATTTCTCGACCAAATCTCCAAGCCATCGTCCAATTGTCCAAACATTGCACAATTTTGTGGTTACACTTGACGATTTGTCTAATGATCGATAGATCGTCCAGTTTTTGTACAATTAATTATTGCGTGTAACCGGGGCTTCAGAATTACGAGGTTCTATCTTGACACCTTTTGGCTCTTTTGAAGTTACTATAAGACCATGAAGTAAAAACAAACTATTAATGTTTTTATCTGCTCTGTCAAAATCGTAGGATAATTCGGTGTCGTTGTCAAGATTATACAAAGAATTGCATTCGAAAAAGCCTGACATGTTGTGACACTCACAGCAATCTTTACGTCAAATTTCTCAAAATTGTGAGGCAGCGTGGTGGAATCAGGCTCTCGTCAATTTTTGGGCATGTAGAGTTATTAGTATCATCTTAAAGCTTAGGCCTATTCACTTGTCTTTATGTGGATGAAAAAAATATACCTTTATCTTGAATGCAAGTCGAGTATTTGCGAAAGGAGGAGGTTGGGGCTACCTGTTTTCAGACGTAAAATTAGTGAGAAAATGGCCGCCAAAGATTAGTTATTTCCTTAGCTTAAGAGTCTGTGGTAACTAAAAATTTACATTTTTGTGCCTTTAATCAACGCTTTTCAGAAAAATCCACACAGAAATGAGTTCTTTAATGGGCATGTGAGGTGTTGAGCCAAAAAACAAAAATTTGATAAAAATTCACAAACCTGCGAAAAAATGCAAGTTTCTTCACTTTGGTTATTTTGACGAGAGTCTGATTCCACCACGCTGCCTCACAATTGGTACTGAGCAGATAGAACTTTGTGATTTTAGGGTAGCGAAAAGGCAAGATTAAAACTGCTGAAGTTTCGTATAATTTCCACGAAGATAATTCCTCTTTAATAACCACTTTATTGCCTGACCCGAGACTGCCTTGTGTTTTTTGGTGGGATTGGCATTGAAAGGGTTGAATAGATCACTTTTTAATGATTCATTGAAAGAGTTAATTAAATCACTTTTAAATGACTTATTGGAAGGGCTGATTAGCTTACCTTAAAAATATGGTTTATTCACTGTTACGTTGTACAGATTTTTAGATGGACGTTCAAAGAAAGGGACCGTTATGAAGAGGGGCGAGGAAGCATGGAGCACCCTGTCTACCTAAGAACCCAGTTATACATTCAAGCATTCAAGTAATTTCAAAGAAAAGTTTAGAATTGTTTGGAGTCTACGTATCATAACAAGCAATAATTTCTGTCTGTATTTACTGGAAGGGCAAAACATGTGTAATGAATGTAGTATAATAATTATACTGTCGTCAATTTCATACCCTGACAGAATGTATTTTAAAAAAAGTTTTAGTAA